ATAAGTAAAAAGACACATTAACGAGGTTACTTTAGGCACTTTATCGACTACTGTAACGATAAAAAATAGATAAAACAACGTTATTGTTTTAAGGTCTATTTTATTAGTACTCTGCTACTAGTATAAATAATAATAGTTATAATAATTCTGAAATTTAACTCCTGGTTAAAGAGATAATATAGCAGTTAACACAACGATATATAAATGGGCAAGAAAATTCACTTTTTATGCCCAGCGTAAATTTAGTTATCAAGTATACAATGAGGTTGATATTGTGCTTCTCACTACCAATGTTCTACAGTGCAATGTACAAATTATTGTAACTGCATTCACTTACAAAAAATAGTCAAATGGCTTATAGTCTAATATATATACCTTCAGAATTTAAAAATATAATATATGGATATCAGTTAAGTATTAATTAATCTGTTGCATTCATGCTAACTGTAAGCAAATTATGAGGGAACGGTAATTGTTACTAGTGAAATATCAGACAGTTACTTTGATTCCACCTCGAACTTCCAATGTACACATCCATAACTGTATTTCATACTATCATAAATTCTGGTAAGCGCGGAGTGTAATATTGAATTTTGTAAATAAATAGAGTTGAATCAAAGGAATAACAATGTCAGTGTAAATCAACTCGGCTAATAAACTATTTAGTTTTTGCAGTTTTTTTGCAGCTTGCATTATAATACTACATTCAAAATTCATGATTTAGTCGTAAGAGAATGGGATATACATGAAAAAAAACTATAATTTCCATAACCTTGGAATAGAATTTTGTGTTTAAATATATATTGTGCGTCAGTAGTTTAGTGGTGGATTGCTCACCAACCACGGACGTAGTCCGGGGAACGATGTACTGCGAAATCTCACCTAGTCAGTAGTTAACCAGGTAAAGACAGAAGGTTCGGTGTGAGGCTAGCAATCCCGTCTCGTTAAAGACAAAATCACCACCAGTGAAACTTCATAGGTGAAGCTTAAAACCCTACGTTCCACTACGAACACAAAAGAATTAAATGAAAATAATGAATTTGAAGATATCATCAAATGTATATGAAAAAATCGTACATCTCATTGAAAACTCCTCATAATCTTAGAGTGTTGCAACTTCTCTTCTGCCTCTAGTTCAACTAAGAAATTATAATGATTTTCCATAGTGAAAGTTTAATTTGAGGAAAACAGTTAGGTTAGCACTGTTAATTCCCTAATAGTTGTAAACCAGTTTGAGTTCAAATCCGTATATGTAGATAAGGCAGATACAAAGTTTCACCCTAAAAGACTACCTGTTACCAGTCAGATTTGTCTTTTCCATTATGGACAAATTTTGTTTTGATAAAGTCTCAGTGTTATACAGTAATGTTTACTGATGACGTTTAGAGCACAATTTACTGCTCATAATCATATCAAGGTACTCACACAACTTTCAAACTTCATTTATATAGTTCCATTATTTTTCACTTGATTTGATTGGTAGTAGTACTCTCCATATTTCAGGTATGAGTGATGAGTCATTCCTATTGCATGTGTTGGGTGTAGACTCGATGAACAAGGATTCAGTAATCAACCTCTCTCTCCACCTACGTAGATTACTTTTTAGAATTTTAACCCTCTCCCACCCTATTGTGTGGTTGTGTCTTAATGCATGCAGTGCAATGTAGGACTGACCTTTTTTCTAAATTACTTATCTTCTCGGGGTCAACCATTCTTACCTTAGCTAAATTCTTATGTTCTGTCTGTCTGGATTCAACATAGAACTTGGCACCGAAGTGCACCAGTTCGAGTTGCCACCTTCCAAATAGCACACAGAGGTAGACAAGAAGATGAGTGAAGAGAATCAATACAGTCTGACAAGTATAAGAGTGAAACAGAATGGGTAATGGTAGAAAGGAATATGAAAGATTACAGAGACTGAATACATCTGCGCCATTGACAACGATTTTGAGCCATGTCACCTATTGTCTCCAGCCATTGATTCCTAGAGTCCCGAGGGCCCCAACCCGGGAGTCTGCATCTCCCTACCTGACTCAGTTTAACTGTCAAGGATTTCATGGATTGATGAGGCCATGTTTTTGTTTGGCCACCACTGGCTCTTTTCCAACCTGCACCTATATCAGCTAGTAATGCCCGTCGGGGGAGGCGGTGGTTAGGCATGCGCAGCACGTGACCTAGCCATCTTAGTCTATGTAACTTTATAGCCTCGTCGATTGATTTTCCCTCTTTGCCCAACACTCTACGCCTAACGTCAACATTACTTACCTTGTGAAACCACCTAACGTGAGACAGAGATCGCAGACATCTATGATCGAAAGCAGTCAACCTTTTCATGTCTTCAACTCGTATTGGCCATGTTTCAGAGCCATAGAGAAGGACGGAGCGAACTGATGAGCAGTACACACGTCCCTTGGTTGATAACCGGATGTCACGCCTACGCCAGAGATGGTGTAAGTCAGCGAAAGCAGCTCGAGCTTTTCGGATCCGTGCTGAGATTTCATCGCCAATCAGTCCGTTGGTGCTAATACAACTTCCCAAATAGGTGAAGTGGTCAACATGTTCTATCACTTCACTCCCTATCACTAAGTTAGGGGTTGACGTGGTCCAGTCCTGTAGCAGCATCTTACATTTTGTAGGGGCGAATCGCATGCCAAACATACGAAGATTGCTGCTCAAGGTGTTCAGAAGACTCTGCATTTTGTCAGCATCCTCCCCTAACAGGACTATGTCATCTGCATATTCTAAGTCCATTAGATTATTCCCTGGTAACAAGTCGATTCCTAAGTCACTACGTTCAGTTAAGGATACTTCCATCAGCATATCTATGATGAAGTTAAACAGAAATGGGGAAAGTGGACATCCCTGTCGGACACCACTGGTTGTTACCAATTCAGATGACAATTCCCCATAAGCCCTTACACGACTACGTGAGTTTGAATAGAGTGCCTTGATTAGTGCAATGTACTTTCTTGGCACTCCCTTCACAGTCAGACATTGCCATAGTACCTTTCGATCCACGGAGTCGAAGGCCGCCTTCAAGTCAAGAAATATGACAATTGTTGGACGCCGAAAAGTGTGTCTATGTTCTAGAATCTGTCGAAGAGTGAAGATATGATCTATGCACCCTCTACCTGGTCTAAAGCCTGCTTGATTTTCCCTTGTCTGTTCCTCCCGAGTTCTGCTTAGTCTATGCATGATTACTGAGCCTAGGATTTTAGAGACTATGTTCGTTAGGCTGATCCCCCTATGATTATCACACGAGGACTTGTTTCCCTTCTTGAATATCGGTATAATAAGTGACTTACCCCAGTCTGATGGAACTGTCTCTGATTCCCAGACTTTGCCTAGTACCTCAGTTAATCTACAAACTAGTATGTCACCCCCATATTTAAACACCTCCGGAATAATTCCGTCGGGTCCTGCCGCTTTGCCTCGTTTCAAATTACTGATAGCTTTTGTGACCTCACTTACAGACGGCGGACCAGTGTCTATATCCCATTCGGGTGTGTGCTGGATGTCGGGGAGGTTCAGTGTGGCTGTAGGCAAGTTAAATTGTCCCTCAAAGTGTTCTTTCCAGCGTTCAAGGCGTCTATCCTGAGAGCTAATTAAGGAGCCATTTTTCTCAGAAATAGTCTCACTTATGATTTGCCTTCTCCCACCCGTTTCCCTGATGAGTCTAAAGTTTCCCTGATGAGTCTAATGTTCTGACAATCTGACTACCCCGACCTACTAGTATGACCTATGTAGTTGAACTCACAGTCATTGCAGGGTATTTTGTAAATTATATTATTTTGTCTAATTGGGTCAACTGGGTCCTTTAACCTACACAGCTTGTCCCTGAGTGAGTTTGTAGGTTTAAATGCCACCTTAATTCCTGCTTTATTAAGAATCTTACGTAGGGTCTCAGATGTCTCTTCTTTATATGGCATAACTGTAGATGACTTATATTCTCTCTTATTTATAATATTATTACTAATTTCACAATTATATTTATTTTTCGTTTGGCCTTTTCCGATCTTCCTAATGAATTTTTAAGGGATAGTTATTTAACACTAATGCCTCTTTTATCTGTTTTTTTTTCATCATCAACATTACTGTATAACATTGTGAGACTTTATCAAAACAAAATTTATCCATGATGGAATTACACTCTACCACAGTGCACAAGTTTTATTCTTATATCAAAGATTTGTCTTTTCATCACTTTTACCATAGTAATAGAAGTACCCTTTATTATATGGTTTATAATTAACCTCAGCTTTCTAGCTTTATCGTATATTTTATCTTATATTGATATGTCATTTGTTTCAAGTTTTAATATTCGATTATAGTTGTGCATACATCCATTCATACAGGCTTGTTCGATTTAATTCAGTACTCACCGAAACAGTGAATACATTGGTCAGTAAAACAACACTGCGGATGATAATAATAATAATAATAATAGTCAAACGACTTGAACACTCTAAACCACAAGTGAAATGAGTAGGAAAAAAGGGAAAGCTTATTTTTGAAAAAAATGTCAAATGGTGATTGGTAGATTAAAACACCAGTATGTTGCTATGTCTCTGAAAATGTGTTTGAGTAATATATGTAAGAGAAATGAAGAGGTGGGCAGTTTGATGAAGTTTGTTAATTTTTGATTCGTCAGTATCACTTTACAGCTAATTACTTGAAACTAAAGGTCCCTTTAATTCTTTTTTCAATTGCTATTATCACTATTACTGCTCCCCTTTACAAATATATGTATATATGTAGGGCATATACGTTTCAGATTCAATACCCATAAGTAATCTTTTCATATTTACCGCTAATTACCTTTTTACTTAGTAACAGTATCAACTTATAGTCTTAAATTATACAGTATAAGAAATAGAAATCACCGAATACCTAAAAAATATTAAGTTATTTACTCAGTGTTATTACTGCATACAAATCAAACAATGCATTGTAGTGCAGTTAAAAAGAATTATTACTGTCAGCTATTGAGGACCTTTCTAATGGTATTTATTCTACCTAAAACTTTATCATATTTTATTCATACAAATGTAATTGCCTATCCAGTTAATTATGATACAACCGAAAATGAATATCGATCGATGCCTTATCATCAAGTATCTTCAAGTCCTTTAAGCCGCCGAATTCAACATTACTATGATTCATTTGACAGTCCATATTCACATGATGTAATCATGACATATCCCAGCAGAACAATTCATAAGCACATTGGAGATGTTGGTTTTGAAAATAAACGAGCATTTTTTGGCGCATATCCCGAAGGTTCTCCATCATTCTCATTTAATGGTGATATGCGTTTATTATCAGAAATGCAACTTATGAAGGCAAATGCTAATCACCTAAGAGATATTGGGTAATTGTAATACTTCTAACAATTGTTTATGAGCATTATTGTTGTCAACACGGGAAAAAATTATTTCATAAATATAATTAATTTGCATGTAAAAGTGGTTTAAAATTATACTCTTCGTTAAATGACAATTTAGTCGACTATATTACAATAAATTAAATATAGAGAATGTGGCAAAAGTAAGGAATTGGATTCTCCTGAATGATTTTTTTTTTATTATTTTATCTACACGCTTACTGATATGTCATATTAGTAGTACCATAGTGCGATACATTTGGGACATTAACAAGTTTGAAATGCTTTAGATAAATGTCTCTTAAGGTGATGATACAATCGCAAAACCGATTTATAAGAAGGTCGCTCATTTATCATAAATTAAGTAACACTTTCAATGTGTTTAAAGCCACCATCTGTAATTAATTTTTTCTCTCTTAGGGTATCAAATCTGTAGAGGTGTCAATCAATTTGAATTTATTCTCTAAAATGTAATGATTTATGTGATTAACACGTGACACGTCTGTGTAGCACTTCTCACCGTTTTTCTTGATAGCAGTGAGATAAAGCTGCTGAAGGTGGATGTGGAGAGATTGACAGTTTTTGACCATAGATGCTCCTATTCAATTCCCCATATTATGTGTGTCGATATGTTCAGTAATAACTCAGTTTGTAAAAGCGGAGATTCAAACCATGAGGTTTTGAAGTTACATTGATTGAAGTGGCTACGACATTGTACTCGTGTTAGGGCACTGAATTCCTAAACGGTGAATATTAATTCAAACCAAATGCGTGATCTGTGAGCATTCTACCGGTGTGCCACCGACGCACCTTGCGTTTATGTACAAAACGGTTTTGACGTGCTCGCGAAGTTGACATGATGTCATTTACCAGGAGACTCCCAAATTAATAAACAGTGTACGGAAATTACACTTGTATAACTTATACCCAGAAAGTTCAAATTGAGACAAAACAAGACCAGAAAATGACAAATTCTTGGATACAATGGAAACCGGGTTGCGTGACAGTGACAAGAGATCGATAATATGATAAATAACCAGTGAGTTGCGAGGCAGTGAGATGAACAGAATTACATCACAGCCAAAGATGAAGAGGTTAAAGCCAAAGATTACGTAATCTGCTAGAGTGGAGAGCAAGGTCATTGAGTTAACAGGGTAAGAGGAGACTGATAACTGGGTTTTAAGTGTTGGTTAGTAATTGCCTCGGCGAAATTTAGAAGAACTGAACTATGTTGTCTGTTGATAGTTTTAATAGATTTCATGACCTATATTAACGAGATGTCTGGCAATGATACTGTTGAAAGCGTTTGTTCCCTTGATATGTAAGCTTTTTGGTATGTGTTCAGAGAATCAAAGGTGTATCCTTTTTTCTGTTCTCCTGATGTAACTGCTACCAACCATACAAGTAAATTTGTATTCACAGAGCTAACATAAAAAGGGCATCTATCGAACTTCGATTGCGCCAAAAAGCATATTCAGTAGACGGAAATCAACTTAGCTACAGGATGGGTTCTGCGTAGTGAAGTACTTAACCTTCTGTTGACTGCTCCTGCAATATAATCGCTTCTGAAGTCGAGTTGTGTGCAAATAAAATTCTTTATCACTGTGATTTGTTTTGCATATAGTCCTCACACTTCCCGTACTTGTTAATGAATTTCTGAGGGTAACTTTTATTTTTTCGTATCTCAAGAACCGAAAATTCTTCCTCCGGTTATTCAATGGGGGAGAGTTCTGACCGATGCTTGTTTATATCTAATTGGTGAAAAAATTATTGAAATTTAAGTATTGTGCATTCCACACACACTTTCGGTAAATGGATCGTTGAAGACTACCATGTTCCTAGCATTGCATGACGACGTCTAGAAAAAGGAATTCTCTCATTACTTCATTGTGCCATAGTAAAGTCAATATTCTTATGTGAAGCATTGAATAATCCAAATAGATAGGATGCAAAACTTTCATTGTTACATACTACACAAATGTCATCAACATATGGACAATAAGACATTTTGTTGATCACATGCTTTAGCTTTGTTCTGTCAGGATTAGATATGCAGACGCCTGCTAATACATGACTTAATGGACTGACCATATAACAAACCGTTCTTTTTACTTTACCAAGTCTTTGCCTGTTGGTCTTAGTCTCTTAAAGTGTATGTCAGGCTTTCTCAGGATACTAAGAATCAGTGGTTTGGGAATGTCAGTGACATGGTTCGAAATCTTTCGTACTGGTTAAGATAAATTCACGCCTAGTAATCTTCTGAACTCAAAAAATAACCAATAATCTTTATCTACTTATTCTTATCTCTTTCTTCGACTTTCAAGTATTGTTCTCAGAATTGTGACTACTTGCACTAATAGACTTTATTCAAATTTCTACTCCGCTAAATCAATCACTAATACCCTCTCATTTGGGATGAAATCAGACTATTAATATGAAATTTATTACTGAATACATAAGAACCGACTGTCTGAAATTTTCCACCCTGAAAACCTGTGCAAGTGAAGTTCACTACGGTACTTTTAGGTTGCTTGAAGTACTGTTGACTTTAAATTATTGCTATTTTGTGGACATTAAAATTTACATTCTTTCGAAATTTATTAGAAATTAAATGTTAATTTAGGAATTCGGTAAACTTATGAAAAATTCGTGCTTTATATGGATTTAAAATATCTTCACAAATCTACAAGGTAAAAAAATCTTTCAGCTTATTTCACTCAATATTTTGAGTTTCATCCTAGTTATTCATGAAGATATTATAATCAGATAGTGAAATCTGATGTTTAAATCCTTTATACAGTACAATATGATTCGACAGTACTCCAAGAGTCTTTATTCTAATTAAATACACCAACAATTCTCCGCTTGTTATTTTTAGGCTACACTTTAAAACTAATTTTGGTAATTCTCAAGCCTAGAACCCAGTTGTTTTCATACTATTCAGGGTAAAAAGAAACTAAGATATTATTTATGCAAGTTAACTGCTAAATAGTCGTGAACGCTGATCTTAGTCTAACAATCAAAAGTATTAGAATGATCAGCAATCTAAGTAATATAAAATTACTGTATGCAGTAAATTAGTATGACTTCAAATAGAAAGCCAACTTCTCAAGTGTTGGTTTGACTGGTTGTGGGTTCGATTACATCAGTTAGAGAACCGTTGAAAACCAGGGGATAGCTTTTCCTACCTAATTTAATAATAATACTAATGATACAGTAAGGAATTTTCAGCATTCAGTAAAATATTGCATCAAATTTACTCAAGACGACAAAAAAATAAACATTACATACTAATAATAACAAAACGTTGTTATAGAAGCTATGTATCAATTACAGTATGCGATAAGGAGAAAAATGCATAAAGTATAAAAATTGTAGTAATAATAGTAATAACAACTGAAATAAAATAGCTAAGTTATAATTCAACGATAGAAAGGGTGACGTCATAAAATTACAGAAAGATGAACAATGAAATGGTCGATTCACTTTGCTAATTACATAGTAACTTATGTGTTTCACGTCTAACAGAGTCTTCGTCACATAAAATACGGGATAAATAGGGTATTGTAGAATTTTTGTACTTAGTGGTACGAGCATATAACTTTTTATATTGACTTCTCGTCCTACCTGATTAGATACAAGGGGATAGTTGTGAATAAAGGGGGTGCAGAGGGTCTGACAACAGTACGGCCTTCGCTCATTTTGTACAGGATTTTATATGTCTCTCGACTATAGTATTGGCGAGCTCACGCAGTGGCAGACCACAAGCCCTACTCACAGCGTTTAATACTCTTCGTAATATGATATAGTCTTTTTTGAGAAGCCCAGGAAAGATTAATGGAGAGCAATAGAGTACAATAGGTAAAATGCAGGAGTTTACAAACTGCGGAAGTAAAAGTTGGTTGATACCTGATTGTCTTAACTTTTTAATGTAGAATGTAAGACGAAACATTTTCTTAGAGATTGATAAGATGTGGGATGACCATGAAAGGTCAGAGGAAAGAACTAATCCAAGGTATTTATTGCTTGACTTAGTTTCAATTTCTGTGCCATCTATGCTACAGGCATCATGCGAACTAACTAGTTCATGTAAGTCATGTCGATGCTTGAAAGTAAAGTCAACTGCCTGACATTTGGAAGCATTAAACATAAGACCATTTGACTTAGACCACTTGTTGATGTCCATCAGAAAGCTACTAAGTTTGGAGCAGTCAGACTCGGAAGTGATAGGCAGCGATATAGTCAGGTCATCCGCATATTCGACAAAGTTAGTTTCGTTTAAATGAGGCAGGTGGTGTACGAAGAAAGAAAAAAGAAAAGGAGAGAAGACGGCACCTTGAGGAACACCGGCTTTTGTAAACGAGGCAGAAGAAGATTTGCCATTATATACAGTACCTGCATTCTATCAGAAAAATAAGAGTGCAACCAACTCTTAGCTCAGGATCCTGTTTGCGTCAACGAAAGCTTATTTAATAAAAAAGCCCCTAGGTACAGAGTTAAAAGCAGATGTGTAGTCTAGGAAAGTACCACGAATATATTTGGCACATTTGTCTAAACAAGAAACAACAACAATCGCAGCATTCAAGGTACATCTACCATGTTTGTATGCAAGTTGTTTAGGATCATTAAAAGGTTTCGATGAAGGTTCAAGACGAAGTAAAAGTAATTTTTCCATCAATTTAAAAAAAAGAAGTAATTGCAATTTGCCTAAATTTGATATCAGTACCAGAAGATGGTTTTGGTATGGGGATAATTTTAATGTTTCTCCATGCAAAAGGTAGAACGTTACCGGAAAAGGAAGCATTAAAAATGTTAGTAAGAGAGTAACATAAAGTATCAGCACAGTTCCTGAGGACAAGGGCAGGTACACCAAGGCTTTTTGGAAGGCTTAAGAGACCAGAGACATTTAAGCACATCATGGGTATTAAAACCATTAAAATTGTTGTCTATATGGACTGTAACATTGAAAGGATATCGACAGAAGAGCGTATG